TAAGTACAATAGAGGGCCCATTCTACAAGCATTTAGTATCGAGCACCTATTGGGTACTGAGTTAAATACTGGGATTACGAAGACAAAAATAAAATTGCCTCCACTTTAAGAGCTTATATTCTGTGGGAGAGACAAAAAGTATACAGATAGCCATATACAGCCAGGACTTGATTAATACAAATAATGAATTCTCCAGGTGGTCACATTATTCTAATTCACACTGTATATTTCATTTGGGCTGGAACCAATTGCCATATTTTGCACAATTATAACTTCAAACAGTACAAATTTGAACACATTGCAGGGGATTAATTATTCATCCTCGTTGGGACTTGTATGATAACTATATCTGTAAAAAACTATATGAATATATGTTTATAACTATGAAAACCATAGAAAATGAACACAAGGTGATTTGTAGAGGGGGCACTAGCAGCTTGGGAGATCAGGAAAGGCTACAGATAGATGGTAATATTTGAGTTAAGCTCTGAAGGAAGCTAGGAATTCTAAGAGATGAAGGTGAGGAAAAGTGCATCGCAAGGGTGGGGAACTGATCATGTGAAGGCATAGAGATATAATAAGAAATGTGATGTGTGACAAACTGGCCCTTTTGTCCCTCACACATGACAGAAGAAGTTCAGTTTGTGCGTGAAAGGGAATAATGTGTAATATTATTCCCTGGAAAGGTAGGTTAGAACCAAGTTGTGGAGGTCTTTAAATGCTAAATAGAGGAGTTTAGATTTGACCTTAAGGTAACAGAAGACCTCCAAGAACTTCTTAAGCAGAAGAGTAACATGGTCACACGTATGCGTGAAGAATGTCACTTGGGCAGTTGTGTGAAGGATAGATTGGAAAGGGTAGAAGGAGGAGGCATTACAAAATGAAGTGTCTTCAAAGAGTTAGGTTTTCTAACTCCTAGTACGTGGTCTTTCCACACTGCTGTATTGCTTCTGGTGAAAGAGTTAGACCTTAGTCATCCCAGACTTCCCTCTAGCTACTTGATGAAGACTGACCTTTCATATTCTGGCAATCAGGAGAGGTAGGAAAAACATAGACCTCAACAGTTGGGAAAAATCAGTTGCATCTAAAAAAGGCAGAAAAAAATCCCAGTGGTAGCTGGGTTCCTAATGAGCGCCATTGTCAATCTCAGCATCCTCAAACGCCCCCTTAGCTCTAGGCGAGGGTGGTGTCCCCGTAATCACAGGCAGTAGTAATTAGGGTTTGAGATGGTCTTGCCTCAGGGAAAACCCAGAATTAAGTCTGTTGATCTGTTGGTTTTTGGCAAGATAAATTGAAAGGTTACCTTTTAGAACTAGGGGACCCAGGAAAGGAATCCAGTGGTCTGGTGGAAGAGAGATCCATCACTGCAAATCACAACCCAGCTATGGTCTCTTACCTTGTGTGACCCTTGCCCATGTCCTTCTGTAAATCTACCACATAGAGTCCGTCCAGTGTAATGGCTTCCTCTAATTTTCTTGATGTTACATGGATGCCAGTAGGACATGCAGGCGGTCTACTAGTTATCCTTGGTTCTCTTCAGCCTTATATACCACTACTCTCCCCACTTTTCTTCCTCTTCCATATTCTGTCCCACTCCAGCACCCGCAGGAAGTTTTGAATGTCCAAGTTCTTATGGGTAAGGACACACAGAAGCACTTCTGAAGAGCTCATGCTCTACTTTCTTTTCATTTCTTACATAGAACATTCTATTTTCCATCTCCATAGTTGTCCCCCATGCTGACAATATAATCTCACCTCCACCTCTTAGCATTCCTCGTTTCCTTCAAAACTCAGTTCAATACCACCTTCTACATGGAGCCTTTCCTGGTTCCCCAGCTATTGGTACCTTCTCTCTCCATAAATCATGTCTGTTTTAAATATACTCATTTATTTGCATATTATCTCTCCCAATAGAATGCAAACTCACTGAGGACAGGGACTGTTTTCATTTTTGTCTTCATCATCCTGTCATCTAGCATAATACCTGCTAAATATATAATCTTTGCCCACAAGGAGCACACAGTCTAGTGAGAGAGACAACACACAGACACCTATATACAAAGAAGATACATTTGTGTGTGTGTGTGTGTGTGTATATATATGTGTATATATATATATGTATATATATATATATACGTATATATATATACACATATATATATATGTATATATATACGTATATATATATACACATATATATATATACGTATATATATATATATACGTATATATATATATACGTATATATATATATATATACACACACACACACACATACAAATATATATATATACACACACATATACATATATACATACACACACACACACATATATGTATGTATAGGATAAATTGCAAATAATCAACAGGAGGAAGGCTCTAGAATTAAGGAGGATCAGGAAAGCCTCCTTTGTAAAGGGGGAGATTTTAGCTGGGCCTAGAAGGAAGATAGGGATGAAACATATTAAGAGCTAATAAAAATAAATGCTTATTGACTGACTGAAAGAACCTGTTGTTAGATGGAGTGTTCTGCAGTGTTTCTTCTTCTGTCTCTTCTCTGGGGCCAAAATTGTTCCTTATAATTTTGAAACATTATTTTGTGATTCCATTCCTGTTGTTGTTTTCATTGTGTATGTTGCTTTCCTGGTATTTCACTTTGTACCAGCTTATGTAAATTTTTTCATGCTTCTGTGGGAAAAGGCTTAATTTTTAATGTGAAAATATGGGATGTTAGGAAGACCCAGAGCAGACAGAGAGCATATTGAACATGAGATTGGAGCAGGGGAATGAACAAATATGGGCTTGAGTGGGGCCAGGGGAGGCTTTGTTCAGGAGTTCATTGGACAGCCCTAAAGGAATTTATGAGAATGAACTGAGATGATTTCATCCTCAGAGAGGCACAGAAAGTACTCTGGAAGCGGAAAGGAGCCATACTAATGCCAGGAAGAAAAGGAGAAGATGAAATGGATCGAGCCGATCCTACTGGCTTTCCGTACTCAGCCCTCTGAGCAATGATGACACTGAGAAGAGAATCCAGAACCATTCTAGGCCCCCGGCTCTTTCAGTGTTTAACAGGGGCTTTTTGAGCTGCTGGCTCTGTGTGAATTCATCTCATTAATAGGCAAACACCGGAAGGGGGAGCTAACCTCTACAAAAATTACCAGCCTTGAGGAGACTAAGGCCATCAATGCTTCAGCCCTCATCCATCACCACTTAATTCTCTTCCTCTCAGTTTTTGCCTCCATTTTGCAATCTTCCCACTTCTATCCACCCTTCCTCTTGAGGTTGCCTTTCCCCTTCCTCCTACATTGGGAAGCTTCTCTCACTCCATGGGTCCTTAACCTTTTTGGGTCATGGACCCCCTTTGTCGAGTCTGTCAAAGCCTATGGACTCCTACTCAGAAAAAAAATTTTTTTTAAGAATTGGAGGAAATGCTAAACTTCAGTCAGAGTTTATATAATTTTTTCCCATCCACATTCAGATAATCCTTGGAATCTATCCACCGACCCCTTGGGAGAGCCTCTATCTTATTCCCAAATCTCATCTCCTCACTGGCTCCTCTGGCCTTCTCTGATTTTCGAGGTGATATATTCTGATCTTAATGTACTAGTGAGAGAAGACTCTAGATTATCTTCAGAACCTTCCTCCAGTTTTTAAGTTACAAGAGCCTTCTGGAGAGTTATAATTAGACCTTCGCATAATTTTATTAACTCATATTAAATAGAATATGCAAATGTATAAGATATATAATAGCTTAAAATGTGTAAAATCTGGCACCAGTTGGAAATAATATGGATCTTCTAAAAATTTCTTCTTGCAGTGCCTTCTTAAAAGATTGGCAACTCCTGGTCTAAGGACCAGTTGGAAGTCTAGGAAAGAACAGGGAGTGGAGGATGGCCTGAAATAGAAGAGACATCCTTCACTTCTGTTATATATTTGAGAACTTGAAGGTGTAAGGAAGTGGAGAACACTTCTGAGAGGGCAGAGTGCAGGTACGGTTCCCTGGGACACTACTGAAGAAATACTCATCCATCATCCTCTTTCCTGGTTGCCTAGTATAGTGAAAAGAATACTGAGCTTGAAGGCCAAATGACTGGGTTCGAGTGACTTTAGCACTCACTGTATTACCTTGGTGAATCCATTTTTACCTTGCTTAGCTTTACCTACCCCTAGGGTTGATCAAATACTAACCACCATTTATATAACATTTAAAGGTTGGCAAATATTAATCTCATTTGAGCTTTACAACAATCCTCGGAGGTAGGTGCTGTTATTATCCCCATTTTATAGATGAAAAAACTGAGGCAGACAGAAGTCAAATGACTTGCCCAGGGTCACACAACTAGTAAGTGTCTGAGGCTGGATTTGAACTTAGCTCTTCCTGACTCCAGGTCCAGTGTCAATCCATTGTGCAACCTAGCTGTCAAAACAGTGTATTTGAAAGCACTTTGTAAACTGGGAAGGGCTATACATATACATGTAGGTTGAAGAAATAGAAGTTATTGACCACCCTTGAGAGGTCACACAACTTAGTACTGGGAGTGACCTTAGAGACCATTGAGTTCAAACATTTCATTTTACAGATAAGGAAACTGAGGCTGAGACAGTCAAAGTGACTTGCCCAGGGTCACACACCTAGTAAGTGTCTAAGGTAGGATTTGAACTTGGGCCTTCCTGACTCCATGTCTAGTGCGCTATCAACTTTGCTACCTAGCTACATGTCTTATTGTTATTAATCAGAACCAGTTTCAAATGTGACTATGTTGCTCATAGCCTCATTGTCATACCAGTGCTATCTTCACCCTTACTAATGAGCAGGGATTTCAGTTCTTGGGAACTGGCTGCTTACAGTCCTAAGGCAGTATGGTTGGGCTTGACAACCAGAATATGGAATGATCATTTTGAGAGGGATTGAAATCAGCATGTTGGAACAATGGGACTTACCTCTCAGAAGTATCCCCAGTACCATTGAAAGCATGTCTTTGTCCTTGTATCTGCAGAGCATCCAAGATCTAGTTGCCACAAGAAGGTGCTGTCCCTGGGATTCCAGTTGAGAGAACTTGGGCAGTTGTAAGAGTGCTATTCCAGAGACTGATCAGGCAAGCAAGTAGGAGCTGCCCACGTCACATCTGCCCTACCTGAACCCTGCTGGTTGCTCCAGGTTTGTGGCCCCTGCTTTAAGCCTTTTATGGTTGCTGCCACAGATGGTGTGATGGTTGTTGCCATGGATGGTGTGATGGTTGTGTTTCCTTAATACCCTCTGTTTAGTGTTTGTGCCTTGGTCACACCTCGTAAGCCTTGTCCCTGTCCTCATAACTCTTGCAAAACTCTTTATAGTTAAAACTAAGCCAAAATTCTTCCTTTTCATAATGCTAATTTTAAAGGAGACAGGATAAAAAGATTCTTGTAGAATGGATACTGTACGGATACTAAGTTCCTTTAGGCCAATGACCATGTCTTTTTTCTTCTTATTTTTTTTCCGTTTTTAAAAAATTGTGAGCTTAACAAACACCAAATAAAATTAGGATTTCCATACACGTTGTAGAACAGAAGTGGAGGATTATATAGACCATCTCTTATTTATCTTTACATTCCCCACAGCGCTTAGCCAGTGTCTATACTGGCCCATGTAGAGTGAATGTTTAATGAATAAGTGATGCAATCAATCCCCATTCTCTAGGTAAGCAAACTGAGCTGTGCGTCCCCCAGTGAATGGAAGTGCCTCCCTATACAATCCCACAGTAAATTGGAGGTAGGGTTAGAATCAAACCTAGCTTTGTTTCCTTTTCTCACTTGATAAAAGGACTAAGAAGAAACTTTGTCTTTCTGGATCTCAGTTCTCTAATCTATAAAATGGGGGAATTAGAAAAAGACCGTTGCCTAAAACTTAACCAAATGAGATTTATTGAATAATGTGGTGTTGTTGTTCATTTGTTTCAGTCATGTTCGACTCCTTGTGACCCCATCTGAGATTTTTTTTGGCAGAGATACTGAACTGGTTTGCCATTTCTTTCTCCAGCTCATTTTACAGATGAGGAAACTGAGGCAAACAGGTTAAATGACTTGCCTAAGGTCACATAGCCAGTAAGTGTCTGAGGCCAGATTTGAACAGGCCTTCCTGACTTCCAGCTTAGCACCCTATCCAGTGTGCCACCTAGCTGCCCATTGAAGAATATATTCTATAACCAACTGAGACCTCAGGAGGGTTGGAGAAGGGGGATGCTACAGGTTTTGGGGTTTGCTTCTTCAAGTATTCCTCTATTGACTCTCCTACAGTGTTGTATCTTCTCACGAGGTCAAGAAAGAACAACTAACATGACTTTGCAGATTTACTTTCATATACAAGAAAGGTACCATCTTTGTCAATGATGTTTCTCTTGTTTTCCTACTCCCCAAAGGTTCTAGGTAAGTGATTGGTGGGGAAGAAAGCTATTTTCTGTTCCTTCCACATCAAGACCTACGCTCTGGGATCTTTGGACATCTAATTAAATGATTGGGTGAAGGAGTCTGATTCACCCAATGATTTTGTTGGTTTATTGAAACTTGTCTCAGAGAGAGAGGCACCTGGACTTTAAAAAGCTTTCCCCAAGTCCTTGTCTCCACTTCACTATATAGTAAGCTATTAGAAGAGTAAAGGCTTAGTGACAAAATAAAGAACAAATATGCTATTAAGTTTGTTCTTAGCCTGGATTTCTGATTTAACTCTCCTAAGCCAGTTCCCAGACTTTGAAACGCGCTACAGGTCCAGCAATGGCTGCTAGGTGGGTCAGTGGTTAGAGTGCTAGGCCTGGAGTCAGAAAGATTCATCTGAGCTCAAATCATGCCTCGGGCATTTTCTATCTGTATGACCCTAGGTAAGCCATTTAACCCTCTCTGCCTCAGTTTCCTCATCTGTAAAATGAGCTGGAGAAAAAAAAGGCAAACCACTTCAATATCTTTTCCAAGAAAACCCCAAATGGGGTCACAAAGAGTCAAACACTACTAAAATGACTGAATAATAACAACAAACAGGTCCAATAAACAAGTTAAGTAACATTCACACTCAGGACCTCTTGTTAGGACCATTTTGTTTGTACCTCCTATATCAGGATGTCTTGTATTTATGAGATGGCCAGCAGGCAATTAGTAGGGGCTAGAATAAGTTCTGCAGAAATTACTTACTAGCTGTGAAACATAGCTTAGTATACTGCAGATAAGTATACTGCAAGAGCTCAATAAATATTCAATTGAAATGACCATTGGCAAGTCTCCTTTTCCTCATCTGTAAAATGGAACTAATAATACAGATGCTCCCTACCTTGTTATGAAGACAGCAATTTGTACAATCTAAAATGTTGTATAAATGAGGTTAACATAATTCTTATCTGTAAAATTCAGAGCAATGGGTAAGATGATCTTTTGATAACAATAGCTAGCATTTGGGTAACTCTTTAAGGTTTACAAGGCACTTTCCAGATATCTCATTTTATATGACAAACCTGTGAGGTAGGTGCTATTATGATCCCCATTTTAGAGATGAAGAAACTGAGGCTGAGAGAAGTTGAACAATTTGCCCAGGATTACACAGCTAGGAAATGGCTACAGCCAGATTTGAAGCTAGGTGTTTCTAACTTCAGGTCCAGCACTCTATCCATTGTACCACTTAGCTGGCTCTGTCTAGCTTACCTGTTATCCGTCATAGATGGGTGATTTGCATGAAATCCTAGGGCAGGAAAAGAGCCAAAAGCTATCTGTTAGTCAATAAACATTGAAGTGCCTACTATGTGTCAGTCACTGTACTAAGCACTAAAGGAAGGTAAAAAACAATCCCTGCTCTCACGAACTTTTTTCTTAGTCATAGTCTAACAAATAATTCTATATAAAGAAGTTATATACAGAATAAATTAGAAATAGGCAACAGAGGTAAGGCACTCAGATTAAGGGGGATTGAGACAATCTTCCTGTAGAAAGTAAGATTTTTAGCTGGGACGTGAAGGAAGCCAGGGAAGCCGGGAGGTGGAGATGAGGAGGAAGGGCATTCCAGGCATGGGGAGCAGTCAGTCAAAATGCCTAGAGTCAGGAGATGAAGGGTCTTATCCTAGGAACAGCAAGGAGGCCTGTGTTATTGCATCACAGAGTATGTGGTGGGGGTGGTATAAAGTGAGAATAAGCACTCTGTCTCTAGCCCTGGAAAACAATGAAGGTGAAAGTATCCTGGAGGAGGGGGCAGCTAACAGTCAAAAACTGTAAAGGAGGGCAAATAGAATGAGGAATGAGAAAAGGCCTTTAGATTCTTGGTGCCTAGAAGAGAGCTGTTTAAGGTGAATGGTAAGGTCAGAAGCCAGTATGCAAAGAGTTGAGAACTGAGTGGGAAGTGAGAAAATGGAGACAACTGATATAGATAATTTCTTCCAGGACATTAGCAGAGGAAATGTAGGGTGATATCAGAAAGGATTGATATCAGATGATATCAAGGATGATATCAAGGATGATAGGGTCAAGGATGATATCAAAAAGGGAGGATAGGGTCAAGGGTAGGAGCCTGAAAGAGAATCAGAGGGGATAATTGAGGGTGAGATTATGGTCACAAGTAGAGGAATAGCCTTGGCAATAATGACCATATCTACCTCAGAGCCTGAAATAAAGGAGGAAAGAATAGGGAACCAGGTGATGTAAGGAAGGAGAGAGAACTCACAACAGATTGCCTTGCTTTTTTCTCAGTAGGAAGCAAGGTCCCTTGCTGAGGGGGAGGGGGAAGGGGAAGATGGAAAGTGGAGTATGGGAGGCTTAAGGAAAGGAGGCTTGGAAGAGCTACTACAGAAAGCCTATCAAGGAGTAATAAAAGGATTTCTATGCAGCATAAAGGCCTGATTGAAATCAGATAACATAAATTTGTAGGAGACCTAGTTGTCATTGTGGTAGAAGGTCCTCCAGAAACATCAAATTTCTGAGAGGAGGAGCAGAAAAGGTAGATGTGGGGGTACCCTACAGTTGGTTTCTGGCAAGGCATCAACAGTAAAAGGTCAAAGAGACTATGGATTCAAGTCTTAAAGTAGTCAGCTATGGGATTAAGACTGTCAAGGGAGGAAGGTGAGGCCATGGCAAGGAGACAGTGCAGGTTGAGAGCCTGGAGGGAGCTTCAGTCAGTCGTGCCAAGCGTGGTGCTAAGCACTGAGGATGGGAGTACGAAAGAAAGACAGTCCATGTCCTCAACAGGCTTACATTCTTCTAAAAAGTCTTAAAAGTATTTTTTCCAATTACATTTAAAGACAATTTTCAACATTCAGTTTTTGAAAGATTTTGAGTTCCAAATTTTTCTCCTTTCCTTCCCTACCCCCTCCCCAAGACGGCAAGCAATCTGATATAGGTTATACATGTGCAATCATGTAAAACATATTCCCACATTACTCATGTTGTGAAAGAAGAAACAGAACAAAAGGGGAAAAAAAACATACACAAAAAAGTGAAAATAGTATGCTTCGATCTGCATTCAGCCTCCATCAGTTCTTTCTCTGGTTGTGGATAGCATCTTTCATCATGAGTCGCTTGGAATTGTCTTGGATCATTATATTGCTGAGAAAAGCTAAATCAATCACAGTTGATCGTCACACAATGTTGCTGTTACTGTGTATAGTGTTCTCCTGGTTCTGCTCACTTCACTCAGCATCAATTCATGTAAGTCTTTCCAGGTTTTTCTGAAGTCCACAACAGGGGGAGAGGAGAAGGAGAAGGAAATCAGCATGTTATCAGCTGAGCAGATGCAAGACATATGCAAAATTAACATAGAGAAATTTGGGGGTGGCACACTAACAACTGGGGGACTCAGGAAAGAACTTAGAAGACAGCTGAGCTTTGAAGGAGCTAGGGGTTCCAAGAGGCAGATGTGGAAAAGAGAGAGCATACTAGATGTGAGGGACAGCCTGTGCTAAGGTGGGAAATGGGATGTTGTATATGAGGAGCAGGAAGTAGGCCAATTTCTCTAGAATGTAGAATGTATAAGGGAGAGTAATGTGTCATCAGTCACCATTGGATGAATCAGATTCTTTCCCCACTTCCTCTTCCTCCTCCTTCATCCCCCCAGGACAGGCTGGAACCAGGATTTTTAAATGAGTTTTAAATACTAGAAGATTTTTGTATTTGATCCTAAAGACAGTAGGGAGCCCTTGGAGTTTCTTGAGCAAGGGAGTGACATTGTCAGACCTTCACTACAAAGATAACAATTCAGCAATTTCTGGAGGATGGATCAGAAAGGGAAGAGGCTGAATGAATCAAGACCAATTAGAAGGCTTTTGCAGACCAGATGTGAATATGATCCTGAGCAGGTGGATTGTGGAATGATTAGAGAGAAAGGAAAGGATGCCAGAGATATTGAGGGGGTAGAATCAACAAGATTTGGTAACTGAGTGTGGCAGTCCCTAGTAAAGAGTTAAGGATGATGCCTATAATGAAAAACTGGGTGATGGGGGAAGGATGGGGTGTGGAATTTAGGAAGAAAGATAAAGTTCTGTATTGGATTCGGGCTTGAGATGCCTTTTGAAGTATCCCAGTGAAGCAGCTGAAGATGCAGGTTGAAGCTCAGCAGAAACATGAGGCCTCGATATGTGGATTTGTGGGAGAATGCATGGAAACTGATGAGATTACCAAGAGAGGAGATGAAGATGAGAGATGAGAAAAGAAGTCAGGACTAAGCCTTGGAGTACATCCATAGGTGCATCGAGGTGGGATGATGATCCTGCAAAGACTGAGAAGGAATGGTCGGATGGATAAGAAGAGAGTTATGAGAGAGAAATGTTATAAAAATCTGGGGAGGAAAGAGTATCCAGAAGGAAGCATGGTCAACAGTATCCAGAGCATTCCACAGGGAGATCAAAAGAAGAATGAGGACTGACACAAGCAAAAGAAGAGGACTCAGATGTGCACAATATGGAGGAGCACTTCTTGTTGCAGCAAAGAAACGGTAACATGGAGCGTGTCCATCAACTGGGGAATAGCTGACCAAGGTGTAGTGTGTGAATGCATTGGAATATTATTCTGCTATAAGAAATGCTAAAAAGGGACAGATTCAGGGAAATCTGGGAAGACTTGTATAAACTGATTCAGAATGAAGTGACCAGAACCAGGAGAACCATTTCTGCAATGACCATGAGAGTGTAAAGGATAATTACTTTGAAGTCCACAGAAAAGAGTTGAAAGTTCAAAAAGGGATGCAGACAAGTTGGGGAATATTGTGACTACCAAGTTAAATTCATTTTACACACACACACACACACACACACACACACACACACACACACACATACATGTACATATATGTATATAATAGTCACAACTTTATATAATCCTCTTTTCTGGATTTTGTAAACATTACTGTTTATTGACTATATTCTCGTTCATAATAAAAAGAAGTTCAAAAAGAAAAAAAGAATGAGGACTGAGAGAAGCCTGTTGGATCATTGCATTTTGGGAGAGCGATTTCAGTCCAACGGTGTGGATAAAAGCCAGATTGCAAGGGGTTGAAAAATGAGTGGGAGGTAAGAAAGTGGAAGCAGTGAATATAGACAGATTTTCTAGTTTGGCTGTGAAAGGGAGAAGAAATAGATATAGGATGATAGCTTGAGGAGTTGATTGGGTCTTGTCAAGGTTTTTTAAGGATGGTGGAGATCTGGCTGGGCATGTTTAAAGAAGGCAGGGAAGATCGAATTGGGGTCAAAAATAGGTTTAGAAGAGGTGAGGCAGAGCCGTGAGAAATTGAAGGACACGAGGTTGTTATCATAGGGATGAACTTCTCATTCTCCCTAGAGCCATCTTTGCATTTCCTAGACTTTCTTCCACATTACCCCTACCCCCACCCCATCTGGCCTTGGCAGGCTGTTTAAATAATTCATCATCTCTTTTTTGTTAACAACAGGAAACAGTTTTGTAAACAACAGGTCCACAGCGCTGGACCTTAAACACTCAAAGGCTCCTAGCAACTGGCAACCCCACCCCAACTACTCTCTCTTTTCTGCTCCAGACCTTGCCTGTCCTAGCCTTTCCATCTCTCCACTCTCACTTCCTGAAACTCAGCTGCTGCTTTTACCAATGTTCATTCTCCCACAGTGTTTGTGAACATGTGTATGGGGTCTCTAGAGAAATCAATAAGGTGGAGGCTGGTGTAATTCCTGTCAATTGGGCAAATCAAGTGCAAGGCACTTTACTAAGGGTTGGAGATTTGAAGATGAAAAAGGACACAGTTTCTGTCCTCAGGAGGCTTATACTCTAATGGGGGATAGGACAATTATCTACAATAAATGTGAAGCTCTTTGCTTCTGGCCCTTGAATTCAACTAGCTGTCAACTATCACCCTCTTAGATGATAACACTCTCAGGTGTTAACACTCCCAGGGGTGTATTTAATTTTTTTCATAAATAAATATTTTAGCAATCAAAGAACTTAGAAAGAGAGGTACCTAGTGGAAATTCCCAACCAGGATAATTCTAACCCTTCTGTAATATCCCTAATGGATGGTTATCTAGCCTCTCCTCAAATGCTTCCAGAGAAGCTCACTTCTTTCAAGACAGTTTCATTTTTGGAAATCATATTTTGATTGAATCAAAATCTACCTCCCTTAATCTTATGTTTGGTCCTCTCTGTACCTGCACAGAATAAGCTTTCTTTTTAATCTGGTGTATCTATTTTGCACCTACTGTATACTAGGATCTGATTATTTGCATCTTAATAGATTGCCAAAAATTTAAGAAGTCTTCAAGAGCCAGAGAAATAGAATTTCAGGCAAAGGGATAGGAGTTGGGAGATACTTGGGGGCACAGGGCCTTGCCTGGTGCTCCCAGGACCACCATAGAAAGGTGATCACAATTTGGAACTATGCCCAAAGGGCTATACAAATGTGCATACCCTTTAATCCTGCAATAGCATTTCTAGGGTTATGTCCCAGAGAGATCACACAAGTGGGAAAAGAACCCACATGTACAAAAATATTTATAGCAGCTCTTTTTGTGGTGGCAAAGAACTGGAAATTGAGAGGATGCCCATCAATTGGGGCTGAACAAATTGTGGTATATGAATATATAGCACAATAGTATTGTGCTATAGGAAATGATGAACAGGCTGACTTCAAAAAACCTGGAAAGACTTGTACGGTCTGATACTGAGTGAAATGAGCAGAACTAGGAGAACGTTGTACACAGTAACAGCCACATTGTGCAATGACTAATGTTGATAGACTTAACCCTTCTCAGCAATACAAGGATCTAAGACATCTCCAAAGGCCTCATGATGGAAAATGCTATCCACATCCAAAGAAAGAACTATGGAGTTTTAATGCAGATCAAAGCATACTCTTTGCTATTTTTTTTTCTTATGTTGTGTTTTGTTTCCTCTTTCTGGTGGTTCCTCCTATTGGTTCTAATTCTTACCTACAACATCAAGAATGTGAAAATATGCTTAATAGGAATATATATGTGTAGCCTATATCAGATTGCATGTTGTCTTGGGGAGGGAGGGGGAGAAAATTTAAAACTCAAAAGCTTATGGAAGTGATTGTTGAGAATTCAAAATAAATTAATTAAAAATTTCTTAAAAAGAAAGGTAGCCACACTCTCCACCCAATGAGGTTCTCTTTCTGCTCCCCAATCACTTCCATTTTCCCTTTTCACTCCTAAAGATCCCTTGTTACAGATGTAACCATGTGGAGTGCCATGTCATCTCTGCCTACCTGGACATGCTAAGCTTCTTTTCTCTTCCCATTTCTGCCAGTTCCATAAGTCCAGCATTAGTGTTAGGGTGGTATCTGATATGGATGAAATTCCAGTTCTAAGATAATTACGGTCATCAAATATTTAATTCATTTAATTAATAAGTGAAAGATAAGCATTTATAACATTCAAAGTCTATGTCATTCAGTCTGCCACTTTATTATCCTCTATTTTGTACTGTCTGGTGCTTTAATATCCCCAGCTAGATTAGAAGCCTCTTAAGGGCAGGGCTAGGTGAATGTGCTAGCAACTGTTCAATAAATGTATTGAATGATTGAGAAACTTCTTCTAGAAGTACATTCAAGTATCCGAGAGAGTTAGAAAGGACAGCATTAAATTTACATGCAAATTGCATACTAGACTGGCATTCTTCTTTATTCTCTATATCCAGTTATTGTTTCTCTCCTTCTTTTAGGAGTGAAATAGCTTGGGGTGGGGAGGAGAAGTCTGTCAAAATGGAAGAAGCCATCACTCAGAGGGCCAGTTTTCTCTCCGAGGATCTGGAGCACTTGGGATCAATGATTCAGAACAAATGGTAGAAACCAGGGGTAATAGCCATTCTATACTTCAGATCCCCACAAATGGTCCTTGAGCAGAAAAAAATAAACCAGCTGATGCAATAAGCACTGGCATCCAAAGCATTTATTAAACATCTCTTTGCCCAGGATGTGCTCAAGACTCTCCACGGGGAGCTGAACAGAAGCAGCCCCTGCTGTGTATGAGTTTCCAGTCTAAGGTAATAACACGGAAGACGACGAGGAGGCAGAGATCATACAGACTGCCGGATTGCTACAGGTCTAAGAGGTAATAAATGGAGAACAGCAAGCATTGACACCCTGTGAGGTATCTACAAAACTGTAAAGGCCAGGGTGGGTGGGAACCAATACAGCTGGCTTCCTCCAAAGGCAGCTGTCCATTCAATGGTAAGGGATGGGGAACCTGAGCTTCCCTCACCCTGAAAGGACCATTTTTCCAGGGAAACTCTTAAGTGAAAGGGGAGAGCTGAGAGAAAGGGTTCATTGTTTAGGGACTGAGCTGAAAGCCAAGGTTGAGTTCTACCGTCTATTGGACTGTGTACCCTAAAAGATGGAGAAGAGGAGGAGATAGAAGGAGTCTGCCTTATTCCCATTTAGACTCCAACTCATAAAATCTCTTGGTTAGAAGGAACCTCTAAAATCATGTCGTCCCATTTCACCCTCTTCTTCCCCTAGCATGACTCCCATTTGCTACCTACCTAAGAAGTGATCATCTTACTTTTGCCTAAAGGACCTCCACTCTTCACGGGGAACTCACTAGCTCCCCAGGGCAACTTATTACGTTCTTGGACGGTTCCAAGTAATTGACACGTTTTCTTTATTTTTAACCTAGTTCTGCCTCTTTGCAGAATTTCCCTTTGTTCTTAGTTTTGCATTCAGGCATCAGTAAGAATAAGACTGTGCTCTCTTCTACAAGGCAGCCCTTGAGAACAGTTATCATGTCTCCCTACTTAACATCCCCAGCTCCTTCAGCCAATAATACTCTTATGCCTTAGGAGCCCCTCGGTAGGAAGACCTGAGTTCAAATCTAGCCTCAAACACTAGCTGTGGGACCTTGGACAAGTCACTTAATCTCTGTTTGCCTTAGTTTCTTATAGTCTGAGACAGGTTTTCTATCTTAGCCTAGAACAGGGGTGGGGAAGCTGCAGCCTCAAGGCCACATGTGGCCTTCTAGATCCTTGGGCATGGCCTTTTGACTGAGTCCAAGTTTTACAGAAAAAAAATCCTTTTCTTAAGGGGATTTGTTCTGTGAAGTTTGGATTCAGTCAAAGGGCTGCACTTGAGGACCTAGAGGGCCACATGTGGCTTCGAGGCTGCAGGTTCCCCACTCCTGGTCTAGAAGCTTCTGGAGGTCAGAGACTGATCCAGGCCATTCCCTGACCATCCCCTACTACCAGAGAGGGAAATGTCAAGAGACCTAGATACTGGTCCTGGCTCCATCAGTGGTCAGTTAAGAGACTTCAGGTACATCATTCTTATTTCTCTGAGCTTTGGTTTCCTCATTTATGAAATGAAAGGGTTGGACCAGATGAATTCTAGGACCCTTTCTCTTGTAGCTCTAATAGCTCTTTGACCTTCCTGCACTGAATTATGAGCAGGCAGTGACTTAAAGGAGCCAACCATGGGATGAAGTTACAGTAAGAGAGAGGATAGATAGCACTTTAATGCATTCTGAACACTTTACATTATTTCATTTCTGCCTGAAAACAACCTTGTGAGATAATCCCTACAGTAGGTGTCCCCATTTCACAGATAAGAAAACTGAGGCTAAGATCAGTAGGGATATGCCTATGTCCAAACATCTAGCAAGCAGTAGAAGCAGCAATCACACCCAGATATTCCTGACTTCTGGTCAAGAATCCTAGAGCTGCCTTGTGATGCTATTTCTTAAAAAAAAAAATAAGAAGAAAAAAGAAAAAAAATCCCTGATATATTCATCAAGTAAGTTGATACTCTACCATCCTCAGCCAATTACTCAAGCAAGAAGGTGGGATTCTCTTTCCTCTTTCCTTGGGCTTTATGCTGTATTTTATCTCTTCTTTATCCCTTCGATGCTGCCCTAGAGGATCATTTTCACTTAGATACAAATGTTCGGGGGGGGGAGGCACACTGTGGAGTTTTTTCCCCCCACACCACATCCTGATAAGACTGCCCAATCAGGGAAATGGGTGTTGTCCTGAAATATCTTCATCCTCATTCCCTCTAGGGAAGATCAGTTCATTGCAAGCACTTACTAAGTAGCAGCTGCACCAGGCACTATGCTTGGCACTGGAGATGCAAAGAGAAAAAGGAAACAGAAGTCTGACCTTGGGACGTCAGTGCCAAAGCAGACTCCTACCCCCCTGAGCATTCTGGGCAGGACAGTCAAGGCTACATCTTTCTTCCCTTCTCTTGCCTGCTTTTCCCCCTGCCCCCACAACAATGCATCAGTAACTCCTTCCTTGGCAGGGGAAAGCTAGTCGATATTCTCTGGCTGATAGCCTGGTGCTGAGCTCAGCACACCCCTCAGGGAATGGGCAAGCCTAAGAGGGTACAGTGACCTCCACAGTGTGGTAGCTCCACCATGGCAGGCTATCCTGGCCCGGCCCTGCACCTATTCTGATGGGCATGGAGAGAAGGAGGAGATGATGAGAGAGACCCCAGATGCCCTGGGAAAACTGTACAAACTGGGACTCCCAAATGGGGAAGGAAGCAAAAGACTGATGGATTCCCTTGAGGAAGGGCTCTCCCAAACAGCCATTAATTGTACTGTCTTTCTGGAATTGAGCCAGAAAGATTCTCTACTACTTGAGGGCTGTGGAAGAGAAGCGGGGTTTGGGGAAGGGATAATAGATAGTGCAGGAGTATAAGAGAAAGACTCTGGCCCCAACTTACTTTTCCGTGCATTGCAGAGAGCCCTTAGAGGGAGCAGTCAGAGCTATGGAGTACTCCAAAGGAGTAGTACGGGCTATGTACAGGCTCTCTCCTGAGCTCTGGGCTGCCCTGGCCAAGGAAATGTGCAGTGAGCCAAAAATATCAAATCATAAAAACCCATGTATGACAGAGATTCATAAAAACTTAAACTTGGAAGGAACCCTAGAACCCTAATCATAACTGAACAGGATTCTACTCTATAACATCCTTGACAAGTGGTGGACCAGCCTTCCCTTGAAGACCTCCAGAGATGAGGAGCTCACTACCTTATATGGCATCCCATTTGGGGACAATAAATTCTAATTTTAGGAAGTTTTCCCCTTATGCCAAACCAAAATCCACTTCTACCTGGTGGTCCTCTGCCTTCTGAGACCAAGTAAAATAAGTCTTCAAGGTTCTTTAAAATATTTTTGAAAAGTGCTCACTTCAGCAGCACATATACCGAAATTGAAATGAGACAGAGAAGATTAGCATGGCTCCTACACAAGGATAACACGCAAATTCATGAAGCGTTCCATATTTTTCATTACACACATACCTATTAAACATCATCTTTAAAAAATATTTAAAAATAATATCTTTCTTTCCTAAGGCTGTTCTCCAGACTAAACATCCCCAGTTCTTTTTTTTTTTTTTTGGCTAGGCAATGAGGTTAAGTGACTTGCCCAGGGTCACACAGCTAGTAAGTGTTATGTGTCTGAGGCTGGATTTGAACTCAGGTCCTCCCGAATCCAGGGCCAGTGCTCTATTCACTATGCTGCTTAGCTGCTCCAACATCCCCATTTCTTTCAACCAACTTTGGCCTGCCATGGTTTCCAATCTTCTCACCATCCTCATTACCCATCTTCTGGATGGGTCTGGTAGAAACCATGTGGCATAGTAGAGAGCCCATCTTGGCTGCAGTAAGAACTGCGTTTAAGTCCATTCTCAGACACATTATCGGCTATGTGACTCAGTACAATTCACCTAACCTCTTATATTCATTCATGTCTGACTCTTTGTGACACCATTTGGGGTATTCTTGCAGATACTGAAGTAGTTTGTCATTTCCTTCTCTAGCTCATTTTTACAGATGAGGAAACTGAGGCAAACAGGGTTAAGTGACTTACTGAAGGTTACACAGCTAAGTGTCTGAGGCCGAGGATGAGTCTTCCTGACTCTGGGCCTGGCGCTCTATCTACTGTGCTACCTTACTGCCCCATCCATTCAGCATCCCCACATAAACCTCCAAGGATATAAACTAAAGAACAGCTGATTACCTGCTTTGGTTGAGGAAGTCTCCCAATTGGGAGCTCCACATACCTATGAAATCATAGTCCTGGTTTTTAAAAAATGAGGTTCTTAGAACGTGTATATGGGGCAGCTAGGTTGCACAGTGGATAGAGCACCAGCCCTGAAGTCAAGAGGACCTGAGTTCAAATCTGGCCTCAGACACATAACCCTTACTAGCCGTGTGACCCTGGGCAAGTCACTTAACCCTGTTGCCTAGCTATTAAAAAAAAAAAAGAATGTGTATAAATTTAGAACTAGAGAGATAGAGACTACTAGAGGTGAGGAATCTGTGGCCTTGAGGCCTCATGTGGCCTTCTAAGTCCTTGGGTGTGGCCTTTTAACTGAGTCTAAGTTTTACAGAACAAATCGTTTTGTTAAGGGGATTTGTTCTGTGAAGTTTGGATTCAGTCAAAGGGCTGCACTTGAGGACCCAGAGGGCCACATGTGACCTCAAGGCCACAGGTTCCCCACCTCTGGAGACCTGTCATTTTATTCAACTTATAGGCTCAATGTAGGGCCTCAGAGGTCAGGTGACTTCTCTAGGGTCACACACTCAGTACATACCAGAGATGGGACCAAACAGAAGCCTGTCATTTTCTTAGGTTACATTAAGGTTTTGCTTAGATAGAAGAAAACTCTTAGTCTCAAAAATTGGGGGCTGTACAGCCTCCTCCACAGCCTTTCCTGACAACTCTATCCCGCACTCATCTTTCCTTTCTCTGAATAATTTAAACACATATTCAGGACCACAGTTTAACACTTTGCTGGTTCCCGTTGTGTCATGGGGATTCAATTTCTCTCTCCAACTAAATTGTAAGAGCTTATATGATGTGATGTTCTGAGTTTAATGCTGGGAATACAAAGAAAAGGCAAAAACTTTAATATGATTCCAGGCACGTATATAGGAGAGCTTGGTAAATGTGGATTGACTCTCAGTTGATAACTTGAATGCTTTAGGCACTTATGAAAGTTGTTTGTTTACTGGGTTTTCTCAGCAAGGATGGAACAATGGATTTTGGTTGAAGGGCAGAGGGTTCAGAGTTAGAGAATGGGAAGATCCTGAGTCCTTATATTTGGGGACTT